GGGTTGGTTGATATGGTGTTGGTTGCTATGGGGTTGGTTGGCAGCTATGGCTTGATTGCTGGTGGAGTTGGTTGCTATGGAGTTGGTTGCTATGGGGTTGGTTCTATGGAGTTGGTTGATATGGGGTTGGTTGCTATGGGGTTGGTTGCTTTGGGGGTTGGTTGCTATGGGGTTGGTTGGCAGCTATGGGCTTGATTGCTGGTGGAGTTGGTTGCTATGGAGTTGGTTGCTATGGGGTTGGTTGCTGTGGAGTTGGTTGATATGGAGTTGGCTGCTATGGGGTTGGTTGCTATGGGGGTTGGTTGCTATGGGGTGGGTTGCTATGGGGTTGGTTGCTATGGAGTTGGTTGCTATGGGGTTGGTTGCTGGTGGAGTTGGTTGCTATGGTGTTGGTTGCTATGTTGTTGGCTTGCGTTGGGGGTGGTTGCTATGGGGTTGGTTGCTATGGTGTTGGTTGCTATGGTGTGTTGTTGCTATGGGGTTGGTTGCTATGGAGTTGGTTGCTATGGGGTTGGTTGCTGGTGGAGTTGGTTGCTATGGTGTTGGTTGCTATGTTGTTGGTTGCGTTGGGGGTGATTGCTATGGGGTTGGTTGCTATGGTGTTGGTTGCATTGGGGTTGGTTGCTATGGAGGTGGTTGATATGGGATTGGTAGCTATGGGGGTGGTTGTTGGTGCAGTTGGTTGCTATGGGGTTGGTTGCTATGGTGTTGGTAGCTATGGAGTTGGTTGCTATGGTGTTGCTAGCTATGGGGTTGGTTGCTATGGAGTTGGTTGCTATGGTGTTGGTAGCTATGGGGTTGGTTGCTATGGAGTTGGTTGCTATGGTGTTGGTAGCTATGGAGTTGGTTGCTATGGAGTTGGTTGCTATGGTGTTGGTTGCTATGGTGTTGGTAGCTATGGAGTTGGTTGCTATGGGGTTGGTAGCTATGGGGGTGGCTGCTATGTAGTTAGTTGGTTGCTATGGTGTTGGTTGCTATGGTGTTGGTTGCTATGGTGTTTGTTGCGTTGGGGTTGGTTGCTATGGAGTTGGTTGATATGGGATTGGTAGCTATGGGGGTGGTTGTTGGTGCAGTTGATTGCTATGGAGTTGGTTGCTATGGTGTTGGTAGCTATGGGGTTGGTTACTATGGAGTTGGTTGCTATGGTGTTGGTAGCTATGGTGTTGGTTGCTATGGAGTTGGTTGCTATGGTGTTGGTAGCTATGGAGTTGGTTGCTATGGAGTTGGTTGCTATGGTGTTGGTTGCTATGGTGTTGGTTGCTATGGTGTTGGTAGCTATGGAGTTGGTTGCTATGGGGTTGGTAGCTATGGGGGTGGCTGCTATGGAGTTGGTTGGTTGCTATGGGGTTGGTTGCTGGTGGAGTTGGTTGCTATGGTGTTGGTAGCTATGGGGTTGGTTGCTATGGCGTTGGTTGCTATGGGGTTGGTTGCTATGGAGTTGGTTGCTATGGGGTTGGTTGCTATGGTGTTGGTTGCTATGGGGTTGGTTGCTGGTGGAGTTGGATGCTATGGAGTTGGTTGCTATGGGGTTGGTTGCTATGGAGTCGGTTGCTATGGGGTTGGTTGCTATGGTGTTGGTAGCTATGGGGTTGGTTGCTATGGGGTTGGTTGCTATGGAGTTGGTTGCTATGGTGTTGGTAGCTAAGGGGGGGCTGCTATGGGGTTGATTGCTGGTAGAGTTGGTTGCTATGGAGTTGGTTGCTATGGGGTTGGTTGCTGTGGAGTTGGTTGCTGGTAGAGTTGGTTGCTATGGAGTTGGTTGCTATGGTGTTGGTTGCTATGGTGTTGGTTGCTATGGGGTTGGTTGCTATGGCATTGGTTGCTATGGGGTTGGTTGCTATAGAGTTGGTTGATATGGAGTTGGTTGCTATGGGGTTGGTTGCTGGTGGAGTTGGTTGCTGGTGGAGTTGGTTGCTATGGGGTTGGTTGCTCTGGGGTCGGTTGCTATGGGGTTGGTTGCTGTGAAGTTGGTTGCTGGTAGAGTTGGTTGCTATGGAGTCGGTTGCTATGGTGTTGGTTGCTATGGTGTTGGTTGCTATGAGGTTGGTTGCTATGGCGTTGGTTGCTATGGGGTTGGTTGCTATGGAGTTGGTTGATATGGAGTTGGTTGCTATGGGGTTGGTTGCTGGTGGAGTTGGTTGCTGGTGGAGTTGGTTGCTATGGGGTTGGTTGCTCTGGGGTCGGTTGCTATGGGGTCGGTTGCTAAGGGGTCGGTTGCTATGGGGTCGGTTGCTATGGGGTCGGTTGCTGGTGGAGTCGGTTGCTATGGGGTCGGTTGCTATGGGGTCGGTTGCTATGGGGTCGGTTGCTGGTGGAGTCGGTTGCTATGGGGTCGGTTGCTATGGGGTCAGTTGCTATGGGGTCGGTTGCTGGTGGAGTCGGTTGCTATGGGGTTGGTTGCTATGGTGTTGGTTGCTATGGTGTTGGTTGCTATGGAGTTGGTTGCTATGGTGTTGGTAGCTAAGGGGGGGCTGCTATGGGCTTGATTGCTGGTAGGGTTGGTTGCTATGGAGTTGGTTGCTATGGGGTTGGTTGCTATGGAGTCAGTTGCTATGGGGTCGGTTGCTGGTGGAGTCGGTTGCTATGGGGTCGGTTGCTATGGGGTCAGTTGCTATGGGGCTTGTTGCCATGGGTTACCGGGAGCTGTGAGGAGTGGAGCGAGGCACGGATGGGTCCAGAATCTCCTCGTAGAAGCTGTTCACCACACGGTTACCCAACAGGCACATCACCTGACACACAGACACAGACAAAGGTCCCCCAGATAGCTCACCAGCGTGCACATCGCCTGACACACAGACACAGACAAAGGTCCCCCAGATAGCTCTCGAGCGGCTGGTGGGGCAAGAGCAGCGAGCAATCAGCCACTCACTCAGCCACTCACCCACTCACTCAGCCACTCACCCACTCACTCAGCCACCCACTCACTCACCCACTCAGTCACCCACTCACTCACTCAACCGCTCACTCACTCAATCACTCACTCAATCACTCACTCAGCCACTCACTCAGCCACTCAGTTACTCAGTTACTCACTCACTCAGCCACTCACTCACCCACTCACTCACTCACCCACTCACCCACTCACTCACTCAACCACCCACTCACTCACCCACTTACTCACTCACTCAACCACTCACTCAGTCACTCACTCACACACTCACCCACTCACTCACCCACTCACTCACTCACTCACCCACTCACCCACTCACTCACTCACCCACCCACTCACTCACCCACTTACTCACTCACTCACCCAGTCACTCTTCACTCACTCACCCACTCACCCACTCACTCACTCACCCACTCACCCACCACTCACCAACCACTCACTCACCCACTCACTCACTCACTCACCAACCCACCCAATCACCTACTCACTCACTCACCACTCACTCACTTACTCACCGACTCACTCACCACCCACCCACTCACTCACCCACTCACCCACTCACTCACCCACTCACTCACTCACCACCCACCCACTCACTCACCCACTCACCCACCCACCCACCCACTCACTCACCCACTCACCCACCCACCCACTCACTCACTCACTCACCCACTCACTCACTCACTCACCCACTCACCCACTCACTCACCCACTCACCCACTCACTTACTCACCGACTCACTCACCACCCACCCACTCACTCACCCACTCACTCACCCACTCACTCACTCACCACCCACCCACTCACTCACCCACTCACCCACTCACCCACCCACCCACCCACTCACTCACCCACTCACCCACCCACCCACCCACCCACTCACTCACCCACTCACCCACCCACCCACTCACTCACCCACTCACCCACCCACCCACCCACTCCACTCCCCACTCACCCACCCACCCACTCACTCACTCACTCACCCACTCACTCACCCACTCACTCACTCACTCACCCACCCACCCACGCACTCACTCACCCCACTCACTCACCCACTCACCCACCCACCCACCCACTCACTCACCCACTCACCCACCCACCCACCCACTCACTTACCCACTCACCCACCCACCCACTCACTCACTCACTCACCCACTCACTCACCCACTCACTCACTCACTCACCCACTCACCCACTCACTTACTCACCGACTCACTCACCACCCACCCACTCACTCACCCACTCACCCACTCACTCACCCACTCACTCACTCACCACCCACCCACTCACTCACCCACTCACCCACCCACCCACCCACTCACTCACCCACTCACCCACCCACCCACCCACCCACTCACTCCCCACTCACCCACCCACCCACTCACTCACTCACTCACCCACTCACTCACCCACTCACTCACTCACTCACCCACCCACCCACTCACTCACCCACCCACCCACGCACTCACTCACCCCACTCACTCACTCACTCACCCACTCACTCACCCACTTACTCACCACTCACACACTCACTCACCCACCCACCCACCCACTCACTCACTCACTCACCCACCCACCCACTCACTCACTCACCCACCCACCCACTCTTCACTCACTCACCCACTCACTCACTCACTCACCACTTACTCACCACTTACTCACCACTCACCCACTCACCTTAACTAACTCCGGCTCCCACGTGTCGAGGGTCAGGGAGCGAACTTTAGAGACGTGAACTCCCAGACTCCTGTGGGGAGAGGGGATTGGTGAGTAAGTGGTGAGTGGGTGAGTGAGTGGTGAGTGGGTGGTGAGTGAGTGGGTGAGTGAGTGCATGATGAGTGGGTGAGTGGGTGGGTGGGTGGGTGAGTGAGTGGGTGGGTGAGTGGGTGAGTGGTGAGTGAGTGTGGTGGTGAGTGAGTGGGTGGGTGGGTGGGTGGTGAGTGAGTGAGTAAGTGGGTGGGTGGGTGAGTGAGTGAGTGGGTGGGTGAGTGAGTGAGTGGGTGGGTGGGTGAGTGAGTGAGTGGGTGGGTGAGTGAGTGAGTGGTGAGTGAGTGGGTGGGTGAGTGAGTGAGTGAGTGGGTGGGTGGGTGAGTGAGTGAGTGGGTGGGTGAGTGAGTGAGTGGTGAGTGAGTGGGTGGGTGAGTGAGTGGGTGGGTGGTGAGTGAGTGAGTGGGTGGGTGGGTGAGTGAGTGAGTGAGTGGGTGGATGAGTGAGTGAGTGAGTGGTGAGTGGGTGAGTGAGTGGGTGAGTGGTGAGTGGGTGGGTGGGTGAGTGAGTGAGTGAGTGGGTGAGTGGTGAGTGGGTGGGTGAGTGAGTGGGTGAGTGGGTGAGTGGTGAGTGGGTGAGTGGTGAGTGGGTGGGTGGGTGAGTGGGTGAGTAAGTGAGTGAGTGGGTGAGTGAGTGGGTGAGTGAGTAAGTGGTGAGTGAGTGAGTAAGTGGTGAGTGAGTAAGTGGTGAGTGAGTGAGTGGTGAGTGAGTGAGTGGGTGGGTGGGTGAGTGAGTGAGTGGGTAAGTGGGTGAGTGAGTGGGTGAGTGAGTGGGTGGGTGGGTGAGTGGGTGAGTGGGTGAGTGGGTGGGTGAGTGAGTGAGTGGGTGAATGAGTGAGTGAGTGGGTGAATGAGTAAGTGAGTGGTGAGTGGGTGGGTGAGTGGGTGGGTGGGTGAGTGGGTGGGTGGGTGAATGAGTGAGTGAGTGAGTGGGTGAATGAGTGAGTGAGTGGGTGAGTGGGTGAGTGAGTGAGTGAGTGGGTGGGTGGGTGGGTGAGTGAGTGAGTGGGTGAGTGGGTGAGTGAGTGAGTGGGTGAGTGAGTGGTGAGTGGGTGAGTGGTGAGTGGGTGAGTGGTGAGTTGGTGAGTGAGTGGGTGGGTCAGTGAGTGAGTGGGTGGGTGAGTGGGTGAGTGAGTGAGTGGATGAGTGAGTGAGTGGGTGAATGAGTGAGTGAGTGGGTGAATGAGTAAGTGAGTGGTGAGTGGGTGGGTGAGTGGGTGAGTGGGTGAGTGAGTGAGTGGGTGGGTGGGTGGGTGAGTGAGTGAGTGAGTGGGTGAGTGAGTGGGTGAGTGGGTGAGTGGGTGAGTGGTGAGTGGGTGAGTGAGTGGTGAGTGGGTGAGTGGTGAGTGGGTGAGTGGTGAGTGGGTGAGTGAGTGGGTGGGTCAGTGAGTGAGTGGGTGGGTGAGTGGGTGAGTGAGTGAGTGAGTGACTGACTGAGTGAGTGAGTGACTAGCTGACTGACTGACTGAGTGACTGAGTGACTGACTGAGTGACTGAGTGACTGACTGACTGAGTGACTGAGTGACTGAGTGACTGACTACCTGTGTATGCCAGAGCACTCGATGCACAGGGCTATGCCCAGGTTGATGCTTGCCCAGCGAGGATCTGAGTGCCTGAGTGACTGAGTAACTAGCTGAGTGACTGAGTGACTGACTGACTAGCTGACTGACTGACTGACTGAATGACTGAGTGACTGACTGAGTGACTGAGTGACTGACTAGCTGAGTGAGTGAGTGACTGACTGAGTGACTAACTGAGTGACTGACTGACTGACTGAGTGACTGACTAGCTGAGTGACTGAGTGACTGACTGAGTGACTAACTGAGTGACTGACTGACTGACTGAGTGACTGAGTGACTGACTGACTGAGTGACTGACTGAGTGACTGACTGACTGAGTGACTGTGTGAGTGAGTGAGTGAGTGACTGACTGACTGACTAGCTGACTGACTGACTGAGTGACTGACTACCTGTGTATGCCAGAGCACTCGATGCACAGGGCTATGCCCAGGTTGATGCTTGCCCAGCGAGGATCTGAGTGACTGAGTGACTGAGTGACTGAGTGACTAGCTGAGTGACTGAGTGACTGACTGACTAGCTGACTGACTGACTGACTGAGTGACTGAATGAGTGCCTGAGTGACTAGCTGACTGAGTGACTGACTGAGTGACTGACTGAGTGACTGACTGAGTGAGTGAGTGACTGAGTGAGTGACTGAGTGACTAGCTGACTGAGTGACTGAGTGACTGAATGAGTGCCTGAGTGACTAGCTGACTGAGTGACTGACTGAGTGACTGACTGAGTGACTGAGTGACTGACTGAGTGACTGAGTGACTGACTAGCTGACTGAGTGACTGACTACCTGTGTATGCCAGAGCACTCGATGCACAGGGCTATGCCCAGGTTGATGCTTGCCCAGCGAGGATCTGAGTGACTGAGTGACTGAGTGACTGACTGAGTGACTGAGTGACTGACTGAGTGACTGAGTGACTGACTAGCTGACTGACTAGCTGACTGAGTGACTGACTGAGTGACTGAGTGACTGACTAGCTGACTGACTAGCTGACTGAGTGACTGACTGAGTGACTGAGTGACTGTGTGAGTGAGTGACTGACTGACTAGCTGACTGACTGACTGAGTGACTGAGTGACTGACTGACTGAGTGACTGACTGACTGAGTGACTGAGTGACTGACTGAATGACTGAGTGACTGACTAGCTGACTGAGTGACTGAGTGACTGACTAGCTGACTGAGTGACTGAGTGACTGACTGACTGAGTGACTGACTGACTGACTAACTGAGTGACTGACTGACTGAGTGACTAAGTGACTGACTGACTGACTGAGTGACTGACTGACTAGCTGACTGACTGACTGACTGAGTGACTGACTACCTGTGTATGCCAGAGCACTCGATGCACAGGGCTATGCCCAGGTTGATGCTTGCCCAGCGAGGATCTGAGTGCCTGAGTGACTGACTGAGTGACTGACTGAGTGACTGAGTGACTGAGTGAGTGAGTGACTGAGTGAGTGAGTGACTGATTGAGTGAGTGACTGACTGAGTGACTGACTGACTAGCTGACTGACTGACTGAGTGACTGACTGAGTGACTGACTGACTGAGTGACTGACTGAGTGACTGACTGAGTGACTGACTACCTGTGTATGCCAGAGCACTCGATGCACAGGGCTATGCCCAGGTTGATGCTTGCCCAGCGAGGATCTGAGTGCCTGAGTGACTGACTGAGTGACTGACTGAGTGACTGAGTGACTGAGTGAGTGAGTGAGTGACTGAGTGAGTGAGTGACTGATTGAGTGAGTGACTGACTGAGTGACTGACTGACTAGCTGACTGACTGACTGAGTGACTGACTGAGTGACTGACTGACTGAGTGACTGACTGAGTGACTGACTGAGTGACTGACTACCTGTGTATGCCAGAGCACTCGATGCACAGGGCTATGCCCAGGTTGATGCTTGCCCAGCGAGGATCTGAGTGCCTGAGTGACTGACTGAGTGACTGACTGAGTGACTGAGTGAGTGAGTGAGTGACTGATTGAGTGAGTGACTGACTGAGTGACTGACTGACTAGCTGACTGACTGACTGAGTGACTGACTGAGTGACTGACTGACTGAGTGACTGACTGAGTGACTGACTGACTGAGTGACTGACTACCTGTGTATGCCAGAGCACTCGATGCACAGGGCTATGCCCAGGTTGATGCTTGCCCAGCGAGGATCTGAGTGCCTGAGTGACTAGCTGACTGACTGACTGAGTGACTGACTGAGTGACTGACTGAGTGACTGACTAGCTGACTGACTGAGTGACTGACTGAGTGACTGAGTGACTGACTGAGTGACTGAGTGACTGACTGAGTGACTGAGTGACTGACTAGCTGACTGACTGACTGAGTGACTGACTGAGTGACTGACTGAGTGACTGACTGAGTGACTGAGTGACTGACTGACTAGCTGACTGACTGACTGACTGACTGAGTGACTGACTGAGTGACTGGCTGACTGACTAGCTGACTGAGTGACTGACTGACTGAGTGACAGACTGAGTGACTGACTGACTGACTAGCTGACTGAGTGAGTGAGTGACTGAGTGACTAGCTGACTGAGTGACTGACTGACTGACTGACTGAGTGACTGACTGAGTGACTGACTGAGTGACTGAATGAGTGACTGACTGAGTGACTGACTACCTGTGTATGCCAGAGCACTCGATGCACAGGGCTATGCCCAGGTTGATGCTTGCCCAGCGAGGATCTGAGTGCCTGACTGACTAGCTGAGTGACTGACTGACTGAGTGACTAGCTGACTGAGTGACTGACTGACTGAGTTACTGACTGACTGAGTGACTGAGTGACTGACTGAGTGACTGAGTGACTGACTGACTGACTGAGTGACTGACTAGCTAACTGACTGACTGAGTGACTGACTACCTGTGTATGCCAGAGCACTCGATGCACAGGGCTATGCCCAGGTTGATGCTTGCCCAGCGAGGATCTGAGTGACTGAGTGACTGAGTGACTGACTGAGTGACTGACTACCTGTGTATGCCAGAGCACTTGATGCACAGGGCTATGCCCAGGTTGATGCTTGCCCAGCGAGGATCTGAGTGACTGAGTGAGTGACTGACTGAGTGACTGACTGACTGAGTAACTGACTGACTAGCTGACTGACTGACTGAGTGACTGACTGAGTGACTGACTGAGTGACTGACTACCTGTGTATGCCAGAGCACTCGATGCACAGGGCTATGCCCAGGTTGATGCTTGCCCAGCGAGGATCTGAGTGCCTGAGTGACTGACTGAGTGACTGACTGAGTGACTGAGTGAGTGAGTGAGTGACTGATTGAGTGAGTGACTGACTGAGTGACTGACTGACTAGCTGACTGACTGACTGAGTGACTGACTGAGTGACTGACTGACTGAGTGACTGACTGAGTGACTGACTGAGTGACTGACTACCTGTGTATGCCAGAGCACTCGATGCACAGGGCTATGCCCGGGTTGATGCTTGCCCAGCGAGGATCTGAGTGCCTGAGTGACTAGCTGACTGACTGACTGACTGAGTGACTGACTAGCTGACTGACTGAGTGACTGACTGAGTGACTGAGTGACTGACTGAGTGACTGAGTGACTGACTGAGTGACTGAGTGACTGACTAGCTGACTGACTGACTGACTGACTGACTGAGTGACTGACTGAGTGACTGACTGAGTGACTGAGTGACTGACTGACTAGCTGACTGACTGACTGACTGACTGAGTGACTGACTGAGTGACTGGCTGACTGACTAGCTGACTGAGTGACTGACTGACTGAGTGACAGACTGAGTGACTGACTGACTGACTAGCTGACTGAGTGAGTGAGTGACTGAGTGACTAGCTGACTGAGTGACTGACTGACTGACTGACTGAGTGACTGACTGAGTGACTGACTGAGTGACTGAATGAGTGACTGACTGAGTGACTGACTACCTGTGTATGCCAGAGCACTCGATGCACAGGGCTATGCCCAGGTTGATGCTTGCCCAGCGAGGATCTGAGTGCCTGACTGACTAGCTGAGTGACTGACTGACTGAGTGACTAGCTGACTGAGTGACTGACTGACTGAGTTACTGACTGACTGAGTGACTGAGTGACTGACTGAGTGACTGAGTGACTGACTGACTGACTGAGTGACTGACTAGCTAACTGACTGACTGAGTGACTGACTACCTGTGTATGCCAGAGCACTCGATGCACAGGGCTATGCCCAGGTTGATGCTTGCCCAGCGAGGATCTGAGTGACTGAGTGACTGAGTGACTGAGTGACTGACTGAGTGACTGACTACCTGTGTATGCCAGAGCACTCGATGCACAGGGCTATGCCCAGGTTGATGCTTGCCCAGCGAGGATCTGAGTGACTGAGTGAGTGACTGACTGAGTGACTGACTGACTGAGTAACTGACTGACTAGCTGACTGACTGACTGAGTGACTGACTGACTGACTGAGTGACTGACTACCTGTGTATGCCAGAGCACTCGATGCACAGGGCTATGCCCAGGTTGATGCTTGCCCAGCGAGGATCTGAGTGCCTGAGTGACTGAGTAACTAGCTGAGTGACTGTGTGACTGACTGAGTGACTGACTGAGTGACTGACTGAGTGACTGACTGACTGACTAGCTGACTGAGTGACTGACTGACTGACTGAGTGACTAGCTGAGTGACTGACTGACTGAGTGACTGACTGAGTGACTGACTGACTGAGTGACTGACTGAGTGACTGACTGACTGAGTGACTGACTGAGTGACTACCTGTGTATGCCAGAGCACTCGATGCACAGGGCTATGCCCAGGTTGATGCTTGCCCAGCGAGGATCTGAGTGACTGACTGACTGAGTGACTGACTGAGTGACTGACTGAGTGACTGACTGACTGACTGAGTGACTGACTGACTGAATGACTGACTGAGTGACTGACTGAGTGACTGACTGACTGACTGAGTGACTGACTGAGTGACTGACTGACTGAGTGACTGACTGAGTGACTGAGTGACTGACTAGCTGACTGAGTGACTAGCTGACTGACTGAGTGACTGAGTGACTGAGTGACTGACTGAGTGACTGACTGAGTGACTGACTGAGTGACTGACTACCTGTGTATGCCAGAGCACTCGATGCACAGGGCTATGCCCAGGTTGATGCTTACCCAGCGAGGATCTGAGTGCCTGAGTGACTGACTGACTAACTGACTAGCTGACTGAGTGACTGAGTGACTGACTGAGTGACTGACTGACTGACTGAGTGACTGACTGAGTGACTGACTGAGTGACTGACTACCTGTGTATGCCAGAGCACTCGATGCACAGGGCTATGCCCAGGTTGATGCTTGCCCAGCGAGGATCTGAGTGCCTGAGTGACTGACTGACTAACTGACTAGCTGACTGAGTGACTGACTGACTGAGTGACTGACTGAGTGACTGACTGAGTGACTGACTGAGTGACTGACTGAGTGACTGACTGACTGAGTGACTGACTGAGTGACTGAGTGACTGACTGAGTGACTGACTGACTGAGTGACTGACTGAGTGACTGACTACCTGTGTATGCCAGAGCACTCGATGCACAGGGCTATGCCCAGGTTGATGCTTGCCCAGCGAGGATCTGAGTGCCTGAGTGACTGACTGACTGAGTGACTGACTGACTGACTGAGTGACTGACTGACTGACTGAGTGACTGAGTGAGTGACTGACTGAGTGACTGACTACCTGTGTATGCCAGAGCACTCGATGCACAGGGCTATGCCCAGGTTGATGCTTGCCCAGCGAGGATCTGAGTGACTGAGTGACTAGCTGACTGACTGACTGAGTGACTGACTGAGTGAGTGACTGACTGACTGAGTGACTGAGTGACTGAGTGACTGACTACCTGTGTATGCCAGAGCACTCGATGCACAGGGCTATGCCCAGGTTGATGCTTGCCCAGCGAGGATCTGAGTGTCTGAGTGACTGACTGACTGAGTGACTGACTGAGTGACTGACTGAGTGAGTGACTGACTGAGTGACTGAGTGACTGACTACCTGTGTATGCCAGAGCACTCGATGCACAGGGCTATGCCCAGGTTGATGCTTGCCCAGCGAGGATCTGAGTGTCCGCAGTCTCCACAGAGGGAGTTGCCGTCCACAGCCTGAACCTGAGCAAGCACGCAGCTGGGAGGGGGCGTGGCTTGCGCGGTGTGGGCGGGGCTTGGGGGGTGGTGAGGGGAGGGGTCGACGGGGAGGGAGGGGGGCGGTGGGGGGAGGGGGTAGACGCGGGGCTGTGGGGGGGGAGGGAGGGGGAGGGGTAATTGGTGAGTGACACAGTGAGTGACACAGTGAGTGACACAGTGAGTGAGTGGCACAGTGAGTGACACAGTGAGTGACACAGTGAGTGAGTGACACAGTGAGTGAGTGACACAGTGAGTGACACAGTGAGTGAGTGACACTGAGTGACACAGTGAGTGACAGTGAGTGAGTGACACAGTGAGTGACACAGTGAGTGAGTGACACAGTGAGTGACACAGTGAGTGAGTGACACAGTGAGTGAGTGACACAGTGAGTGACACAGTGAGTGACACAGTGAGTGACACAGTGAGTGAGTGACACAGTGAGTGACACAGTGAGTGACACAGTGAGTGAGTGACACAGTGAGTGACACAGTGAGTGAGTGACACAGTGAGTGACTCAGTGAGTCACACAGTGAGTGACACAGTGAGTGACACAGTGAGTGAGTGGCACAGTGAGTGACACAGTGAGTGACACAGTGAGTGAGTGACACAGTGAGTGAGTGGCACAGTGAGTGACACAGTGAGTGACACAGTGAGTGAGTGACACAGTGAGTGAGTGACACAGTGAGTGACACAGTGAGTGAGTGACACTGAGTGACACAGTGAGTGACAGTGAGTGAGTGACACAGTGAGTGAGTGACACAGTGAGTGACACAGTGAGTGACACAGTGAGTGACACAGTGAGTGAGTGACACAGTGAGTGACACAGTGAGTGACACAGTGAGTGAGTGACACAGTGAGTGACACAGTGAGTGAGTGACACAGTGAGTGACTCAGTGAGTCACACAGTGAGTGACACAGTGAGTGAGTGACACAGTGAGTGAGTGACACAGCGAGTGAGTGACACAGTGAGTGACACAGTGAGTGACACAGTGAGTGAGTGACACAGTGAGTGACACAGTGAGTGAGTGACACAGTGAGTGAGTGACACAGTGAGTGACACAGTGAGTGACACAGTGAGTGAGTGACACAGTGAGTGACACAGTGAGTGACACAGTGAGTGACACAGTGAGTGAGTGACACAGTGGGTGAGTGACACAGTGAGTGACACAGTGAGTGAGTGACACAGTGAGTGACACAGTGAGTGACACAGTGAGTGACACAGTGAGTGAGTGATACAGTGAGTGAGTAACACAGTGAGTGACACAGTGAGTGAGTGACACAGTGAGTGAGTGACACAGTGAGTGACACAGTGAGTGACACAGTGAGTGAGTGACACAGTGAGTGACACAGTGAGTGACACAGTGAGTGACACAGTGACACAGTGAGTGAGTGACACAGTGAGTGACACAGTGAGTGAGTGACACAGTGAGTGAGTGACACAGTGAGTGAGTGACACAGTGAGTGACACAGTGAGTGACACAGTGAGTGAGTGACACAGTAAGTGACACAGCGAGTGACACAGTGAGTGAGTGACACAGTGAGTGAGTGACATAGTGAGTGACACAGTGAGTGACACAGTGAGTGAGTGACACAGTGAGTGAGTGACACAGTGAGTGACACAGTGAGTGACACAGTGAGTGAGTGAGTGACACAGTGAGTGACACAGTGAGTGAGTGACACAGTGAGTGACACAGTGAGTGAGTGACACAGTGAGTGACACAGTGAGTGACACAGTGAGTGAGTGACACAGTGAGTGAGTGACACAGTGAGTGACACAGTGAGTGAGTGACACAGTAAGTGACACAGTGAGTGACACAGTGAGTGAGTGACACAGTGAGTGACACAGTGAGTGACACAGTGAGTGAGTGACACAGTGAGTGACACAGTGAGTGAGTGACACAGTGAGTGAGTGACACAGTGAGTGACACAGTGAGTGAGTGACACAGTGAGTGACACAGTGAGTGACACAGTGAGTGAGTGACACAGTGAGTGACACAGTGAGTGAGTGACACAGTGAGTGACACAGTGAGTGAGTGACACAGTGAGTGAGTGACACAGTGAGTGACACAGTGAGTGACACAGTGAGTGAGTGACACAGTGAGTGACACAGTGAGTGACACAGTGAGTGAGTGACACAGTGAGTGACACAGTGAGTGAGTGACACAGTGAGTGAGTGACACAGTGAGTGAGTGACACAGTGAATGACACAGTGAGTGAGTGACACAGTGAGTGACACAGTGAGTGAGTGACACAGTGAGTGAGTGACACAGTGAGTAACACAGTGAGTGACACAGTGAGTGACACAGTGAGTGAGTGACACAGTGAGTGACACAGTGAGTGAGTGAGTGAGTGACACAGTGAGTGACACAGTGAGTGAGTGACACAGTGAGTGACACAGTGAGTGAGTGAGTGAGTGACACAGTGAGTGACACAGTGAGTGACACAGTGAGTGAGTGACACAGTGAGTGACACAGTGGGTGAGTGAGTGACACAGTGAGTGACACAGTGAGTGACACAGTGAGTGAGTGACACAGTGAGTGACACAGTGAGTGACACAGTCAGTGAGTGACACAGTGAGTGACACAGTGAGTGAGTGACATAGTGAGTGAGTGACACAGTGAGTGACACAGTGAGTGACATAGTGAGTGAGTGACACAGTGAGAGACACAGTGAGTGAGTGACACAGTGAGTGACACAGTGAGTGAGTGACACACTGAGTGACACAGTGAGTGACACAGTGAGTGAGTGACACAGTGAGTGACACAGTGAGTGACACAGTGAGTGAGTGACACAGTGAGTGAGTGACACAGTGAGTGAGTGACACAGTGAGTGACACAGTGAGTGACACAGTGAGTGAGTGACACAGTGGGTGAGTGACACAGTGAGTGACACAGTGAGTTAGTGACACAGTGGGTGAGTGACACAGTGAGTGACACAGTGAGTGACACAGTGGGTGAGTGACACAGTGAGTGACACAGCGAGTGAGTAACACAGTGGGTGAGTGACACAGTGAGTGACACAGTGAGTGACACAGTGAGTGAGTGACACAGTGAGTGACACAGTGAGTGACACAGTGAGTGAGTGACACAGTGAGTGACACAGTGAGTGACACAGTGAGTGAGTGACACAGTGAGTGAGTGACACAGTGAGTGACACAGTGAGTGAGTGACACAGTGAGTGAGTGACACAGTGAGTGACACAGTGAGTGACACAGTGAGTGACACAGTGAGTGTCACAGTGAGTGACACAGTGAGTGACACAGTGGGTGACACAGTGAGTGACACAGTGAGTGAGTGACACAGTGAGTGACACAGTGAGTGAGTGACACAGTGAGCGTCACAGTGAGTGACACAGTGAGTGACACAGTGAGTGAGTGACACAGTGAGTGAGTGACACAGTGAGTGAGTGACACAGTGAGTGACACAGTGAGTGAGTGACACGGTGAGTGAGTGACACAGTGAGTGAGTGACACAGTGAGTGACACAGTGAGTGAGTGACACAGTGAGTGACACAGTGAGTGACACAGCGAGTGACACAGCGAGTGACAGTGAGTGAGACAGTGAGTGACACAGTGAGTGACACAGTGAGTGAGTGAGTGACGCAGTGAGTGAGTGACACAGTGAGTGACACAGTGAGTGACACAGTGAGTGAGTGACACAGTGAGTGACACAGTGAGTGAGTGACACAGTGAGTGACACAGTGAGTGAGTGACACAGTGAGTGACACAGTGAGTGAGTGACACAGCGAGTGACACAGTGAGTGACACAGTGAGTAAGTGACAGTGAGTGAGTGACACAGTGAGTGACACAGTGAGTGAGCGACACAGTGAGTGAGTGACAGTGAGTGACACAGTGAGTGACACAGTGAGTGACACAGTGAGTGAGTGACACAGTGAGTGACACAGTGAGTGAGTGACACAGTGAGTGACAGTGAGTGACACAGTGAGTGAGTGACACAGTGAGTGAGTGACACAGTGAGTGACACAGTGAGTGAGTGACACAGTGAGTGAGTGACACAGTGAGTGACACAGCGAGTGAGTGACACAGTGAGTGACACAGTGAGTGAGTGACACAGTGAGTGACACAGTGAGTGACACAGTGAGTGAGTGACACAGTGAGTGAGTGAGTGACACAGTGAGTGACACAGTGAGTGAGTGACACAGTGAGTGAGTGACACAGTGAGTGACACAGTGAGTGAGTGACACAGTGAGTGACACAGTGAGTGAGTGACACAGTGAGTGACACAGTGAGTGACACAGTGAGTGAGTGACACAGTGAGTGACACAGTGAGTGAGTGACACAGTGAGTGACACAGTGAGTGACACAGTGAGTGAGTGACACAGTGAGTGAGTGACACAGTGAGTGACACAGTGAGTGAGTGACACAGTGAGTGACACAGTGAGTGACACAGTGAGTGACACAGCGAGTGACACAGTGAGTGACACAGTGAGTGAGTGACACAGTGAGTGACACAGTGAGTGACACAGTGAGTGAGTGACACAGTGAGTGACACAGTGAGTGAGTGACACAGTGAGTGACACAGTGAGTGACACAGTGAGTGAGTGACACAGTGAGTGACACAGTGAGTGACACAGTGAGTGAGTGACACAGTGAGTGAGTGACACAGTGAGTGACACAGTGAGTGACACAGTGAGTGAGTGACACAGTGAGTGAGTGACACAGTGAGTGACACAGCGAGTGACACAGTGACACAGTGAGTGAGTGACACAGTGAGTGAGTGACACAGTGAGTGACACAGTGAGTGAGTGACACAGTGAGTGAGTGACACAGTGAGTGACACAGTGAGTGGCACAGTGAGTGAGTGACACAGTGAGTGAGTGACACAGTGAGTGACACAGTGAGTGACACAGTGAGTGAGTGACACAGTGAGTGACACAGTGAGTGACACAGTGAGTGAGTGACACAGTGAGTGACACAGTGAGTGAGTGACATAGTGAGTGACACAGTGAGTGACATAGTGAGTGAGTGACACAGTGAGTGAGTGACACAGTGAGTGACACAGTGAGTGACACAGTGAGTGAGTGACACGGTGAGTGAGTGACACAGTGAGTGAGTGACACAGTGAGTGAGTGACACAGTGAGTGACACAGTGAGTGACACAGTGAGTGAGTGACACAGTGAGTGACACAGCGAGTGAGTGACACAGTGGGTGAGTGACACAGTGAGTGACACAGTGAGTGACACAGTGGGTGAGTGACACAGTGAGTGACACAGCGAGTGAGTGACACAGTGGGTGAGTGACACAGTGAGTGACACAGTGAGTGAGTGACACAGTGAGTGACACAGTGAGTGACACAGTGAGTGACACAGTGAGTGAGTGACACAGTGAGTGACACATTGAGTGAGTGACACAGTGAGTGACACAGTGAGTGACACAGTGAGTGACACAGTGAGTGAGTGACACAGTGAGTGACACAGTGAGTGAGTGACACAGTGAGTGAGTGACACAGTGAGTAACACAGTGAGTGACACAGTGAGTGACACAGTGAGTGACACAGTGAGTGACACAGTGAGTGAGTGACACAGTGAGTGACACAGTGAGTGACACAGTGAGTGAGTGACACAGTGAGTGACACAGTGAGTGACAGTGAGTGACACAGTGAGTGACACAGTGAGTGAGTGACACAGTGAGTGACACAGTGAGTGACACAGTGAGTGAGTGAGTGACACAGTGAGTGAGTGACACAGTGAGTGAGTGAGTGACACAGTGAGTGACACAGTGAGTGACACAGTGAGTGAGTGACACTGAGTGACACAGTGAGTGAGTGAGTGAGTGACACAGTGAGTGAGTGACACAGTGAGTGACACAGTGAGTGAGTGACACAGTGAGTGACACAGTGAGTGACACAGTGAGTGAGTGACACAGTGAGTGACAGTGAGTGACAGTGAGTGAGTGACACAGTGAGTGACACAGTGAGTGACACAGTGAGTGAGTGACACAGTGAGTGAGTGACACAGCGAGTGAGTGACACAGTGAGTGACACAGTGAGTGACACAGTGAGTGAGTGACACAGTGAGTGACACAGTGGGTGAGTGACACAGTGAGTGACACAGTGAGTGACACAGTGAGTGAGTGACACAGTGAGTGACACAGTGGGTGAGTGACACAGTGAGTGACACAGTGAGTGACACAGTGAGTGAGTGACACAGTGAGTGACACAGTGAGTGACACAGTGAGTGACACAGTGAGTGACACAGTGAGTGAGTGACACAGTGAGTGACACAGTGAGTGACACATTGAGTGACACAGTGAGTGACACAGTGAGTGACAGTGAGTGAGTGACACAGTGAGTGACACAGTGAGTGACACAGTGAGTGACACAGTGAGTACCTCTCTGTATGCGGAGTTGATACTCGCTTGGACAGCCTGAGTCCAAATCCGTCTCGCCTGGTCAGAGTCGGCCTGGAGAACGCAGCTCCTAAACACACACACAGACACACACACAGACACACACACACAGCTCCTACACACACACACAGACACACACACACACACAGACACACACACACAGCTCCTACACACACACACAGCTCCTACACACACACAGCTCCTACACACACACACAGACACACACACACAGCTCCTAAACACACACACACACAGCTCCTAAACACACACACACAGACACACACACAGCTCCTACACACACAGCTCCTAAACACACAGACACACACACACAGCTCCTACACACACACACACAGCTCCTAAACACACACACACAGCTCCTACACACACACACAGACACACACACACAGCTCCTACACACACACACAGCTCCTAAACACACACACAGACACACACACACACAGACACAAACACACACAGCTCCTACACACACACACAGACACACACACAGCTCCTAAACACACACACAGACACACACACACACACAGCTCCTAAACACACACACAGACACACACACACACAGCTCCTAAACACACACACAGACACACACACAGCTCCTAAACACACACACAGACACACACACACACAGCTCCTACACACACACACAGCTCCTACACACACACAGCTCCTACACACACACACAGACACACACACACACAGCTCCTAAACACACACACACATACACACACACAGCTCCTAAACACACACACAGCTCCTACACACACACACAGCTCCTACACACACACAGCTCCTACACACACACACACACAGCTCCTAAACACACACACACACAGACACACACACAGCTCCTAAACACACACACAGACACACACACAGCTCCTACACACACACACACAGACACACACACAGCTCCTACACACACACACACAGACACACACACAGCTCCTACACACACACACAGCTCCTACACACACACAGCTCCTACACACACACACACACAGCTCCTAAACACACACACACACAGACACACACACAGCTCCTACACACACACACACAGACACACACACACACAGACACACACACACAGCTCCTAAACACACACACAGACAGCTCCTACACACACACAGACACACACACACACAGCTCCTACACACACACACAGACACACAACAACAACCGCCATTCGCCACTAAGTGGCAGTGACGTCACCACGACGCTTGTGCCAGGCTATGTGCACCCTGAGGCCACGTGAAGTGTCGAATGCCCGCTGGCAGGAGGTCACGGGGCAGACCCAGGTGCCACGGGTCGACTGACTGAGATGACTGGCTGATGCACCACCTGTGCCCCCTACTGTGCCAACCTGCTGTGCTTTAGCCACCTGGCGCTCCGCTCGCTGTTGTGAGCGTCGCTCCTCCGCCCTCCGTTGTTGTTGGAGGGCGACTGCCTCCAACTGCCCAGTAGCATCCTTCACGAGCCTCCTCCACAGAGGCCGATCTTGACACCGCTGGTACCAGTCATCGGCAAGTCCACTCAGCTCCACGTCCTCCTGTACCACATCACTCCATCTCTTCTCTAGCCCGTGCCGCGCCCGCTTAGCCCCCTCAATCCGGCCAAACAAAAGCTGTTTCGGCATGCGGTGGCTGGGCATGCGGGCTACATGACCCAGCCATCGCAGCCTTGCCTGCCGGAGGAGCTCACCGATGGGACCCTGCCCAGATCTTTCAAGGATTTGTGAGCTCCTCACACAATCCAGTCTGGTTAAACCCAGGATGGATCGTAGGCAGGCCAGCCTAAATGTTTCTAACCGGCGAAGATGTTCCATTAGGGGGGTCCACGTTTCGCAAGCGTAGAGAAGGGAGGGAATGACCGTGGCCGAGAAGACCTGAAGCTTAGTGCGGAGCGACAGACCAGGTAGCTTCCACACAGCGTTACGCAACCGATGAAAAGATATTGCCGCTCGACTGATTCGGAGTGAGACCTCTGCTGTTAAACTGGAGCCAGTCATAAGCACACTGCCCAGGTATGGGAAACTCTCCACTCTCTCCACAACTGCCCCATCACCGATTGGGAGTTGTGGGGGTGGAGTGTCCGATGGTACAAAATACCCAGGCAGGTGCTTAGTTTTGGTGGGGCTGATGGTAAGGCCCCACCTCTTAGTGGCACGCTCCAGTCTCAGCAGCAGCGTCTCCAACTCCTCCTCTGACTGAGCAGCTATTACCAAGTCATCAGCATACATAATGTGGTTGAGCAATAGGGAGCCATCCCTTGACCGCACCCGGGCATCGATTAGCCTCCCATTATATCTGTACCATATGGAGATTCCCCCGGTACAGCTATTGAAGGCTTCACGAACTACGTGGTCAAAATAGATGTTAAATAATGTGGGAGCCAGAGGACATCCCTGTCGCACCCCAAGGTGTACAGGGAATGGCTCTGACTCCCGGCCACGTAGTTTTACCCGGGCCCGCTCACCATCATGAAGGTCCTTAATGATCGTGAGCAGAGGGTCAGGTACTCCAAAAGCACGAAGAACGACCCAGAGCCCAGGCCTACTAATGGTATCATAGGCCTTGACCAGGTCAATAAAGCAGAGATGTAGGTCTTGTTGGAATTCCCTACACCTCTGCTGTAGCAGACGGACAGAAAATATGGCATCTGTGCAGGACCGCCCTTTCCTGAAACCGCATTGGGGCTCCGCAAGCCTCTCCTCAGCGTGCCTGGCAAGGCGATGCTGAATAATCCTTGCCAGGACCTTTCCCGGCACACTGAGGAGTGAGATGCCCCTGTAGTTGTTACAGTCTGTGCGGTCCCCCTTCTTAAAAAGGGGGACCACCAGGGCATCCTTCCAATCCTGCGGAACCCGTCCAGTGGTCCAGACCGTTGTTATGATGTCATATAGGGCAGTCTGTGCACAAACGCCACCCTCCCTCAGCATTTCGCTTGGGAGATCATCTCTGCCCGCTGCCTTTCCTGGTCTCAGACTCCGGATCGCCTTCAATACTTCCTCAGCAGATGGCACCTCAGCCAGCCACTCACAGGGGGTGACTTCATCCAATATTTGAGGCACCGCAGCCTCAGCAGGGTCATCCTCACTTTGTGCCATGATGTTTTCCTGGCTGAGGGATTTTCCCTCCCCCAGGACCTCACAGAAATGCTCAGCAAATCTGCGAACCTGTTCCTGGGGGTCGGAAATTGGATCACCGTTTTTTCCCCTAATGATGGTAATAGGTGTGGCGCTGCAGGTTACTTTTTTGATGGAGTTAAATAGAGATTTGTGATCACGGGCCACTGAGGCAGACTCCATCTCCTCAGCAACCCGCGACCACCACCCATCCTTGCAGCGCCTCACGGCTCTCCGAACCTCCGAGCGAAGGCTGCGGTAAGCCTCCTCATTCTCTGACGTGGGATTCTGTAGCCGATGACAGTGGGCCTGTCGCTTTTTCTCAACCATCGTGAACAACTCCTCTGTCATCCAGGGTGTCTGGGGAGGTCTGGACCGCGTACCCAAAGCAGCCATTGCAGCTGCATGAGTCACAGTCCTAAACCTCGCCCATTTACCCTCGACATCAGGAGGAGTCGGGGACGATGCCAATCCCAGCCGCAAGCGATGATGAAATTCTCGCTTGCAACTTTCATCAGATAACTGAGACCAGGCCACTTTAGGTTGGAATGGGGTCCTGGGTGTACACCCACCACCGGAGTGGAAGAATGGCAGGCGCATCTTACAGATGACTAGTCGATGGTCAGAGGGCAGATCAGCTCCACGGTAGGTCCTGGTGTCAAGGACATGGGCTCGCATTCGCTGGTCCGTCACTATGTAGTCCAGCAGATGTTCTTGCTTGGACCCGGCATGCATCCATGATGTTGTGTGGATGCGCCGATGCCGGAACAGCGTGTTGGTAATTACAAGCCCATGGGCTGCACAAAAATCTAGCAGCCTCCTACCGTTGTTATTGAGCTGATCTGGCCCATGCCCTCCAATCACTCCAGACCAGGTGCCAGTATCATGACCAACTCGGGCATTGAAGTCACCCAACATGATGACTCTATCCCGAGGGGCCACTTTAGCCAGCACCTGTGACAGGAGGTCATAGAAGGCATCTGACTCATCGGCTTTGCCTGCATCCCTCCACGGATGTTCATCTTCGGTGGGGGCATAAGTAACCACGACCACCATTCCTCGCCTCCGGTTGATGGGAAGGCGAGCCCAAAGTAGCCTGGGGCTTACAGCTTCCCACACCTCACCGCCACGCTCCCACGCCCCCTTCATTCTTTTGTTCAAAAGAAGACCCACACCCTGTTGTTTGGCAGTCTGCTGCCCCGAGTAGAGGACTGTCCACCCCTCATGGTGGCAGGAGCCAGAGCCGGTCCACCGGACCTCCTGAATGCCGCATAGATCCAGGCGGTACCGGTCCAGCTCCCGACAGAGGAGTGGCAGCCTCTCCTCTGCAGTGAGCGTTCAAACATTCCACGTGGCCAACCGTAGTGGCTTTTCGTTGTTTCTGGAGTAGCCCCGAGGGTAGGTATTCAATCTCCTGGCTCCGCCAATTGGGGTTTGGCCAGGAGACGTCATAGACGCCTGGCCCCCCGGGGCCTCCGGCACAAGCTTAGTTGTTACATATTTCAGTTTAATTCGTAGTTTCGTGGTAATTAATTGAAGGTGGAGGGGTTACCAGCCCCTCGCACCCGTCCAGAGCCCCCGTTTAGCCCCTGTGGTGGACACATATGCCATGAGGGGAGGAGCCAATCAAAATTGGATATCCCCCCACAGCGCTGTCCACGACAGAGTTGCCCGTCCGGCACCGCGAGGAGGTAGGGGGTTGTTTCGCCTGCCACAGACACACACACACAGACACACACACACAGCTCCTAAACACACACACAGACAGCTCCTACACACACACAGACACACACACACACACACAGCTCCTACACACACACACAGACACACACACACACACAGCTCCTACACACACACACACACACAGCTCCTACACACACACAGACACACACACACACAGCTCCTACACACACACACAGACACACACACAC